GGGGCCGGGTTGAGGGCGGGGCCCACCTCCATCTCTCATCTCCGTCTCCTTCCTCCAGGAACTCAGGGGTGCTGTTCTGGACCCTGCTCCCCACCCGGGGCTGGGTCCTCCCACTCACCTCTCTGGAAGTGGGCTTGCCTCGGAAGAACTCGTGGTTGAGGGAGCTGTGAGGCGGGCTGAAGCGGGACTGCAGGAAGATGCAGCCATTGGCGATGGCCTCCAGGGGGGCGGGGCCTTCGTAGGGGAAGCCAAACCCTATGAAGAGCTGAAGAAGTCGAAGGGGAACAATGACCAGGGGAGGCTGGCCACCACGGCCCAGGGGTCCCCGGAGCTGGGCAAGGCTATGGTAATGACGGCCGGCCCAGCTATGTGCCATGGGCGAGGCCCTTCTGCCCTTTGCGTCCTGGTTAGGTGATCTCAGTGGCCTCTTCCTGCTCTGGCAGGCTAGGATTCTGGGGGGATAAGAAAGGAGTGAGGGTGTCAAGTTTAAAAGGCCACAGACGCATCCCTATGGTTGATGTCAAAGGACCTCTGCGCACTCACCCTGAAAGCATTCACCCAGCCCCCCATCTGTGTCAGCAGTGCCCCAGAGCCTGGCCCCTGGGAGGTGCCTAAAGGGTTGAACCCAGGGCTTCCCTGGAATGTTGTTCAGATTGCTCACTGAACAAAGGTACCCTCTTCTTCTGATCCATGGGGCCGAGGAAAGAAGCTAGGGTCAGGTTAGCAGTAGGACTGGAAGATAGCTCAAGCCATTCTAGCCTCAGCTGACACTTCAGGGCCTAGCAACAGTGACTGCCCACTGGGCTAGTCACTGCTCCAGAGGTACAGCTCAGGGACTTCCAGAGGCGGCCAGTCAGGAGCTAGCGGCCTGATGAAATTCCAGCAATGACCTCTCTCAGCCTTCCCTACCGCTGCCTCAGTGGCTCCAAAAGCTAGGCCTGACCCAGGTGTCCAATGGGCTGGAGGGATACTGAGCGGGGAGCAGATGGGCGGCCCACTCCACTTTCACACCATCGTACCTCGGTTCTGCCAGCCCCACCCTGCCCCTTTCACTGGGAAGCCTCCCCTCTTTGGTGGCCACCTCATTTCTGCTCCTGGTTAGCCCCACGAGGGCCTGGCACAGGGCCAAAGGGAGCAGAACATGTGGGGCCTGAATGCAAGTCAGTGGGGCCATGGTGGTGGTGGCAGGCGCAGCAAGCACACTGGAGTGGCCTCAGCAGCATCAGCAGCCCGGGGAAGATGGCGGAGGGCCTGCTCACCTTGGCCTTGCGCAGCAGCTGCTGGAACTCGGGCTGGGGCAGGAGGCCATGGTTCTTCACAAAGGCCGGGACCTCGGGGGGCCGTTGGCTCTCATAGTACACAGTGCCGTGGATCTCCATGTACTTGTTCAGGATGCTCAGGAACTTCTCCTTTCCCTGGAAGAGGAGGAAGAGATGGGAGTCTCACCTCCACCATGGAATCAAAGCCGGGGGGAGGAGACTCCCCTGGTCTGGAAATCAGAAGACACAGAGTCGACTCTTAGGTCTGCTGTGAGCAGCTGTGTGACTGTGAGCAAGCCCCCATCCCCTCAGAAGTTGGACTAGATCAGAGGTTTCAGAAATATTTTTAGCCATGGAACTGTTTTCTTTCTAAAGGAACTCTACGGGAACCAACATTTAAATGTATCCAAGTGGAGCTGTGTGGTCTAATTGGCTTCCCCCGAAGGCTGATGGCCTCCATCAAGGACATCTAAGGTGCTCTGGGGCTCTGCGGAGCCTAAATAACCCGTCCATCCATCCACATCCATCCACCCATTTATTAATTGAGTCATTCAGCTGTCCATCCATCCATGTCCACCCAGCCAGCCACCCAGCCATCCACTGATCCATTCATGTCCACCCACCCAGCCACCCAGCCATCCACTGATCCATTCATTCTTAAGCTAGCACCTCCGCCCACATCCACCTATCCACCGATCCATCCACATCCATCCGTCCACATTGATCCATCATCCATCCATCCATCCACCCACCCACTCATGCTGCACGTGTTTGTTGCTATGTCCTGGCACTGTTCTAAGTGGTGGGAACACACCAGGGCCCAGACCAAGTACTTATTCTCAAGGAATGAAAACTCCCCAAACTAGCGGAGGCTCAGCCCATCCAGATGAGAATCCAAAATTCAGGCTTCCCCTCCCGCCCAAGCCCAGGAAACAGAACCAGCCTTCAGGGGAAGGGGACAAAGGGGGACGGAGCAGGCAGGTGACACCTCAGCATCTGGGCACCCAGCCTGACCCCCCACGCCAGGGCCCTGAGCTGGGAGCTGTGGCCAGTGCGGGGCGATGAGTGGGCTCAGCAGAGATGCACACTACCCTGGCACTGGGGTGCTATCTGCTGGTTCTGGGGGATTTTTGAGGTTTGCAGAAGGGAGAAAGGGGTAAGCAGAGAAGAAGGTTGCTTCAACGTCTTGGAGGAGGAGAGGAGGGGTCTTTTCAGGGAGGGCTGGTTCCGTTGTTAACTCACATTTTCAAAATGGAGCTGTATGGTATTTTCACAAGGAGGCCTTCCACTTGGGTAATGGCAGAGCCTTGCTGTCGAGTGTCGGGGAGTCTACTTCAGCTCACGGCAAGCCTGTGTGGCAGAGCAGGACTGTCCCGCCGGGTCTCCCGGGGCTGCCATCATGTGGGAGCAGCGCGCCAGGTCTTTCTCCCTCAGAGCCACTGGGTGGCTTCAAACCGCCAGCCTTTGGGCTAGCAGCCAAGTGTTTAACCAGTGCTCCACGGGGCTCTTCATGGTAGATTAACTCAAAACCAGAGCAAACCAAATCACTGCCATTGAGCTGACTCCAACTCATAGAGACCCCCATAGTGTTTCCCAGGCTGTCAATCTTTACAGAAGCTGACTGCCTCATCTTTCTCCTGAGGAGCAGTTGTTGGGTTCGAATCGCCGACCTTTTGGATAACAGCCCAGTGCTTTAACCATCAACCCTGAAAGTGAGAACAGCTAGGAAAGATGGGAAAATGTAAAACACATCTGGTTGAAGGCACTGGAAATGCAACCAAAGAAGCAAACCCACTGCCGTCAAGTTGATTCCGAGTCATACCCTGTAGGGCAGAGGGGAACTGCCCCATCGGGTTTCCAAAGGCTGGACATCTTCACGGAAGCAGACTGCCACGGGGTTCTCCCACAGAACTGTGAGGGGGTTCAAACCACTGACCTCTCCCTTAGCAGTAGAGCTTACCTAACCCTGTGCCACCAAAGCTCCCGGAAATTTAATGAAGAAAGAAAAGTTGCAAGGCCACAAACGGGAGAAGAAGGGAAACAAGGTTGTTGAGCCCAGTATTGGGGTCGGCTTTCCCCTCAGGGCGTCTGCTGATTCCAGAGGTGGCAGAGAGGAAGCTGAGCCCAGAGAGCGAGTGAGCGCTTGGCAGCTTTGCAGAGCTGAGGGATAAAAACCGCCGCTCAAGCCTGCCAAGGAGGGGGCCCTGACGGGAGTGCTGCACGCTGGGTTACAAGTCCAAGGGACTACACCCTGGAAGAAGGAATGGACCGGAAGCGGCCCAGCCCCTGCAGGGCTGGATCAGTCACCTCAATAACTGTAACCGGATTACAGTGATTAGAGCTGTTAGAACCAAGCCAAAATAAACACAAATCCTCTCGGGAGGAAGACAGCATCACCCTTGACCTCATATCATCTCTGTCATTTTTCATATTCATTTGCCAAAGTGCCATACAAAAATAACCAATGAAAGCCCAGTAAAAATCTCAGTAGCATCTCTGTAGATCTGGACAAGCTAATTCTAAAGCATCCGTGGGAACGCAGGGACCTAGAACAGAGAAAAGGACTCCGAGAAAGAACAAAGTCGGCAGATTCATCTACGTGATTCAAGATCAAGACAGTGCGGTACTGGTACCAAGACAGACAGACAGACACATCAACAGGACAGAGAAGAGAGAAAGAGATCCACACATGTGGCACCTGATTTTTGACAGTGGAACAAGGCAGTTCAGTGGGAAAGGGGGGTCTTCAACAGTGGGGCTGGAGCGTTGGCTACCCACAGGCGCAAAGGATCAGGAGGAAGAGGAGATGAAGAAGCAGAGGAGAGGGGAGGGGATGGGAGGGGAGGGAGGGGGAGGGCGCTCTTTATGTCTAAGGCTGTGGGTCCCAAGTGGAGTCTGAGAGACGGCGGAAGGAATGAAGAGCAATATAAAAGGGTAAACACGTGGCTCTCTAAATCAACAGTGACTTAGAAAACAGTAAGAGTATCTCAGTTGAGTGCCTGAACCACTGCACCACCAGAGTGCCTTTAAAACACAGAATTAAAATATGATCAAAGTATGTAAATTGGGGGGTGAAATTAAGTGTTTTTAAGTTTTTTAAATCCAAGAATAGGTCAAAGTACTTATTTTTATTAGATTTTAGTAAGTCAGGGATGCAGGTTGTAATTTCCAGGGTAACCAATAAAAGAATATAAAAGAGATATAATTACTCAGCTAAAAGGAGGTGGACTTAAAATATGCAAAAGAAGATCAGAAAGGAGAGGAAAAGAACATGGAACCAGTGAGAAATCACCTCGTTACAGCATAGGTTTAAAGCCCAATATATCACTAATCTTGTTAAATGCAATAGGACTACTTAACATAAAAGCAAATTATGCCCATAGTGAAAAAATAAAACCATACAGAAGGCATAAACGGTGAAGTCCAATGTTGCCCAATAGCCGATCTCATTACCCAGGGCAGCTAGTGTCAATGGTTTCTTACGTACTGTCTAGGATTTCTTCATGCCCTTTCAGCCTACACCGTGCTCTTTGAAATACACACACACACACACACAAGTTGGTACAGCCATTGTGGAAGTTTGGTGGTTCCTCAAAAAGTTGAATGGAGAACCATCACTTGTGGTTGCTGTTGAGTCAACTTCGACTCGGAGACCCCATGCAACAGAGCAGAAGGGCCTCAGAGGGCTTTCTAGGCTGTGATCTTTATGGGAGCAGAGGGCCAGGTCTTTCTCCCATGAAGCTGCTGGGTGGGTTGGAACCATCAACCTTCCGTTAGCAGTCAAATGACCCTCAATTCCATTCTCAGACATATATCCAAAACACGAAAACAGCCATAAACAGACAAGCAAAGTCGTGTTGTCTGCATATCTCAGGTTGTTAATGAGTCTTCCTCCAATCCTGATGCCACGTTCTTCTTCACATAATCCAGCTTCTCGATTATTCGCTCAGCACACAGATTGAATAAGTATGGTGAAAGGATGCAACCCTGACGCACTGCCTTCCTGATTTTAAACCATGCAGTATCCCCTTGTTCTGTTTAAGTGACAGCCTCCTGGTCTGTGTACAGGTTCCTTGTGAGTACAATCAAGTGTTCTGGAATTCAACAACCTTGCTTGCTGAAAGCGAAGATGACTTGAAGCACTTACTGATGAAGATCAAAGACTACAGTCTGCAGTACGGATTACAGTTCAATGTAAAGAAAACAAAAATCCTCACAATTGGACCAACAAGTAACATCATGATAAATGGGGACAAGACTGAAGTTGTCAAAGATTTCCTCTTACTAGGATCCACCGTCAACACTCATGGAAGTCACAGTCAACAAATCAACCATCATATCGCACTGGGCAAATCTGCTGCAAAAGTCCTCTTTAACATGTTGAAGAGCAAAGATGTCACTTTGGAGACTAAGGTGCACCTAACCCAAGCCATGGTATTTCCAATCGCCTCACAGGCACATGAAAGCTGGACAATGAATAAGACAGACCAAAGAAGAGTTGATGCCTTTGAATTGCAGTGTTGGCAAAGAATATTGAAAGTCCCATGAACTGCCAGAACAATGGACAAATCTGTCTTGGAAGAAGTGCAGCTGGAATGCTCCTGAGAAGCGAGAATGGCCAGACTTTGTCTCACCTATTTTGGTCATGTTGTCAGAAGGGACCACTTCCTGGAGAAGGCACATCATGCTGGGTAGGTGGAGGGTCAGCGGAAAAGGGGCAGGCCCTCAACAAGATGGGTTGACACAGTGGCTGGAACTAGGGGCTCAAGCACGGCAAGGACTGTGAGGGTGACGCCGTCCCACTCTGTTGTACACAGGTCACTATGAGTTGGTCGGAGCTGACCAGATGTCACCTGACAACAACGACGATATCGGAACCACACGTAATCAGTGATTACCGGGGGCGAGAGGGAAGGCGGACGTGGGCGTTTTTGCTCAGAATGAACTGAATGTTACCAGTGGTGAGATAATTTGGAAAAAGATCCTAAGTCATCGCACAACTTGAAGAGTGCGGTCAGTGCCACGGAAGTGTACGTGGAGAAACTGACGAGATGTGGCGCGTTTCCCTGTGTGTTTGGTGCTATAATAAAAACATTTAAGAACACACAAATGCACACACGGGTTCAGCGACTTTTTTCCTACCTAACCACACACACACACACACACACACGTTATATATGTG